AGACCCTTTCTCTACTAAAAACACAAAACTAGCCAGGCATTGCAGCACATGCCTATACTTGGGAGGCTGAGGCAAGAGGATCACTTAAACCCAAGAGTTTGAGGTTGCTGTGTGCTATGATACCATGGGACTCTAACCAGGTCAACAGAGTGTCTGTCTCAAAAAAAAAAAAAAAAAATCCAGACTCTCTTCTACCTCCCCAAGTTGTGAAGTGGAAACATATAGTGTAGGTGAGTTTTGGGGCCCTTATGGATCCTCAAAGTTTATAAGTCCCTGGTGTGATGGGAAGAACCATGAACCTACTGTGATGGGAAGAACCATGGACTGTGAGCTGGTGTGGGTTCTGGATTTGCTGCCTATGGCTGTGTGACCTTGCCAAGTCACTCTACCTCTCTGAACCTTGATTTCTCTTGAAAATAGAGTAATTGATGTTAAGTTTCCAGATTTGTCATAAGAATTTAGTATCATAAGTGGTGCTTTGTGAAACTGGTTGTAAATAAGATAGTCCTCTATGAGGCTAGGCCTTATCCTGCTTTTGTAAACCTGAAGTACTCAGTAATGCCTGGCACATAGGAGTCACTACATAAATATTTATCAAATGAATGGATCAACAGCTCTGAGCTCTAGTAAGTTGCCCAGGAGACTTCCCTGGAGAAGCTTCAGGAGTCCTGGCTGAAACTGGCTGCAACTATCTAAAGTGCTGTACAGAAGGGGAGGGAGTAGACTGACTCTGAGTTACTCCGGAAGGGAGAGCTAAAGCAGAAAGGTAGGAATGACAGGGAGACACACTTGACTTAACAGAGAACTTTCTGTTTGGTTGCCTGTCCATGGAGTGAGCTGCCTTGAGGAGTGGCAGGAGTGGTTATTAGAGGGGTGCAAGCAGAGGCTGTCTGGGGACTTGATGAGAAACCCAGAGAGATGTCCAAGTATCAGGTTAGAGGCTGACCTAGGTGACTTTTAAATCTTCTTGGATCCTCAATTCTAGGACTCCAAAACCAAACACAAGGGCATATGGAGGACCAATACATTTACCACTCACCAGAGCTTTGGGGATCATTACATTTGACTTTCTGGCAGAATGGGAGTTGGCAATGGCACACATTCTACACGCAAGGACATGTCTAATGGAGGAGCACCTAGAGTGCTGTGGTGTCACAGTTCACAGCAACCTCAAACTCTTGGGCTTAAGCGATTCTCTTGCCCCATCCTCCCAAGTAGCTGGGAAAACAGGCACCCACCACAATGCCTGGCTACTTTTAGAGACAGGGTCTCGCTATAGCTCAGGCTGGTCTCAAACTCATGAGCTGAGGCCATCTACCCATTTTGGCCTCCCAGAGTGCTAGGATTACAGGTGTGAGCCACTGTGCCAGGCCTTCTTCCAGATATTTTATGAGGGCCTACTATGTGCAATATCCTTCATGATCCTGACCCTCAAGGAAATCACAGTCTGGGAAGAGAAATAGATGTGTGCCATTATACATGTGGTAGAAATAGGTACCTGTTGTGATGGAGAGGTATGTAGTGGTAGAAATAGAACAACCTGAGAGGCCTAGAGACCCGTGTTCAAATTCTGGCTCTTCCACTAACTTGCAGTGTGTTCTTCTCATATCCCTTTAGCTCCCTGAGCCTCAGTCTTCTTATCTCTTTTCCTCATCACAACCTGGCAAGTCTTAGTTCTTATTTTACAGACGAGGAAACTGGGGCCTCCTTATCCAAGATCACTCAGCCAGTGAGTGACAGATCCAGGACAAGTTCCCTTGAAGGGGTTCAGGGTCACCAGATGAAGGGGTTTTAGCACAAGGAATGTAGAGGCTTGACACAGAGTCTGTACTGGGGGACTGAGGAACTCAGGGACAAGCCCTCCCAAGCAAACCTCAGGTCCATATTTATTATCATAGAATAGGAAGAAATAGACAAAAGCTGCTTATCCAGCATTAGCATTGGTTAGGGAAGATGTAGAGAGGATCAGATAGAATGTCTCTGAAAGCACATGTATTGAGAGTAAAATAGAGTCAGGCAGACTACAGCTAACAACACAGTTGGTCTGGTCCATTTAGGTCCTGCCTGACCTTCACCCATCTGTCATTCTTACTGTTTTGTAAATTTAGCTCCCGCCTTAAAGATGCCTATCCTGAGTAGTTTAGGTGGATTGATTTAGCAGGTTAACTTTTGAATTGGAATGTTGTAATAGGTCACTGAGGTATGCTGATTATTATTTAGAATGGAGGTTGGTGTGGTCTTTGCTTGAACTTAAATGTATAAAACTGTAATTTTGGAAATGCAAGAACAGAACAGTTTTGGAGAGGTTACTCTCACTATTCTCCAGAATCCTGGCCTTCTGACAAAGTCTGGTGGACTATCCCTGTGTCTACATATTGGCTGACAGGGACAGGCGGCCAGACCCTCTTCCTCTGGTAACATCTCCACCTTTGTTTTTGCAAAATTACAGACCTTGAGCACAACCTTGCCTCCAGCCTCAAGAGATCTTTGGAATCCAGAGAATCTTTACACACATTCTCTCTTGGAGGTCAGTTTTCTGCCCTCCTATAGGTACACAATTCACATGCCATTTGCATGACTCTTTAGGTCTCTCAAGCAGAAAGCAAGCCTATACTCAAGATCAGGGAACAATTTTCCCAACAGTCCTTCTTTCTGACTTCCCACCTGAGTTCCACCAGCTCCATACTGCTGCTTCTCACGGTCTCAAAGGAAACACCAAAGTTTCCTAACACAAAAGTTCTTCCTGGGTAGAGAAGGTGGGTTCACTGGCCTTGCCAACTTTGACTGATATGCCTCAGGTCACCTCTTAAGGAAGTGCCTCAAAATTCTCACCAGAAGTCCAGTGTTAAGTGGACCCATGAAGATGGTTGGTGTCATAGTAACCTCCAGGGGCCTTAATTACACAAAACTCCTAGGTTTAGGGAGAAGAGACAAGGAAGGGAAGTAAAAGGTCAGATCTCAAGGCATCTGCCTTAAGAACTTTGCACTGGCTTGGCGCCTGTGGCTCAAGTGGTTAAGGTGCCAGCCACATACACGTAAGACGGTGGGTTCGAATCCAGCCAGGGCCTGCCAAACAACAATGATGGTTGCAACCAAAAAAAAAAAAAAAGCCAGGCGTTGTGGCGGGCGCCTGTGGTC